TTTAGGTTACCTAAATTACTTTAAGTCATTAGGGATGTTTTAACATTTAATGCCCTAAGATCATCTGGTTTGAGAGTTATTGGCTGAAAGGAAGCAAAGGAAGCTAGCACACCCTTATCGCCTTCTGAAACACTCAAACTTGATGATGACTGACCTAGCCATGATCCCACTGAATATCGTCAAGTGCTTGGGTCTCTTTAATATCTTTCTCTTATAAGGCTAGATGTAAGTTTTGCAGTTAATAAATTGGCTAATTTATGCATCGACCATCCTCTACTAATTGGAATACGGTTAAACGGGTTCTTCGTTATCTCAAAGATACATCTCACTATGGTATTTTCATCTATGCTTGCTCGCCTTTTTCTCTTCATGCATTTGCCTACGCCGATTAAGCTGGTGACGCATACACCCGTCACTCCACATCTGCTTATGTCGTTTTCCTTGGTTCCAATCCAATCAGTTGGAGTTCTAAGAAGCAATCTACTATTGCCCATTCTTCTACTAAGGCCGAGTATCAAATGCTGCTGCTACTGCTGAGGTTAATTGGATTACCAATCTTCTTCGAGAGCTTTCTCTCTCCCTTCCAACTTCTCTGACAATTTACTGTGACAATGTTGGAGCCACTTACTTGTGCTCCAATCCCGTGTTTGACTCGCGCATGAAGCACATTGCAATTGACTTTCACTTTGTACGTGACCAAGTTGCTCGTAAGTTGATTCGAATCTCTCATGTTCATACCACAGATCAACTTGCTGATTCATTAACTAAATTGCTGGCTCGGATGCAATTTCATATTCATCGGCCCAAGCTTAGCGTCCTTCCTGGACCCTCGCGCTTGCGGGGGCATGATAAAGCACAAAGTTTGGCCATTCTATTTAAGGAGAGTTTACTTTTCCCGATTGTAATCTTTTTGTGATTATCTCTTTATTTAGTTTGATTTAGTTTCCTGTTGTACATTTGTAATTATGGAAACTAGTCAACTCTCAATGGTATATATTGTAATCACAATTGTTAATAAGAAATGTTACAATATTCATCAAAACTCTTTACTTGGCAGCCCTCAAAGCATGTACCGTGTATTGAATCTTTGAGAAGTATTATTAACAAGACTAGTCCTACTCATTTTATGGATGGCTTTGTTTAGTTGCCCTCAATAGAGGACATCAGATACTGTTTCTTCTTTATCAACAACTCCAAATCCCCTGACCCTGATGGTTATAATGCCTTCTTTTTCAAGAAGGCTTGGCTAATCATAGGGGAAGATGTTTCAAAATCAGTAAGAGAATTTTTCAGAATGGGCAGCTTCTTAAGGCTGTTAATTCCACTTATTTGGACCTTGTTCCTAAGGTTCCCAACCCAACAACAATGAAGGATTTGAAACCTATAGCCTGTTGTAACACTATCTATAAGGTCATCTCAAAACTTATTGCTATGAAAATCCACCCATTCTCCCTAGCATCATTGAGAAAAACCAAACTGCTTTCATTACAGACAGGAGAATTGGGGATGGATTCTTTCTTGTCCAATAGATCCAGAACTTGAAGGGTTACCATTCCCCCTGGTCCTAAATGCACCCTAAAAGTAGACCTTAAAAATGCATATGACATTGTTAACTGAAAATTCTTGATTGATACCCTTACCCTTCTCAATTCCTCTCCATTTTTCATAAGGTGGATCAATAATTGTATCTTCAATCCCTCCTTCTCCATCTCAGTCAATGGAGAACTGGCTGGTTATTTCAAAAGCACCAAATGCCTTAGACAAAGGGACCCTATCTCTCCATTCCTCTTTGTCGTTGTGATGAATGTCCTATCCTTTATTCTCTCAAAAGAAATTAAAAACAACCCTAGCTTCGTCTATCACTGGAGGTGTAAAGCAAACAAAGTTTACCACCTTTGTTTTGTTGATAATCTTATGCTATTCTAATGGGGACTGTATTTCTCTTAATGTCCTCATTAATGGTCTTAAGAATTTTTCAGAACTTGCTGGCCTCTACCTCAACCTTGCCAAAAATCTTATTATTACAGTAAATGTTCCCCCTGATATTCAAGGTGTTATAATTGAGAGCTGTGGTTTTGAGCTTGACCAGCTTCCTATCAAATACTTGGGATTTCTCTTATGTTCATCTAGACTTCAGGCTAATGATTGTAGACTGCTTGTTGAAAGGATAACTTCTAGGATCAACAATTGGACAACCAGATTTCTGTCATATGCTCCAATTGGTTAAGAGTGTCCTAATTAGCATTCACAACTACTAGAGCAACCACTTTATAACCCCCAATTCAGGTCATTAACCAAATCAATAACATATTAAGGAGGTTTCCATCGACTGGTTCTGAGCTCAAGGCCACTGAAGCTAAAGTTAATTGGAGGGCTGTCTACAAACCTAAAGAATATGGTGGGTTAGGTGTTCCAGACGTAGGTACTCTCAATAGAATTTCCATCATCAAGCATATTTTGGCATTTATTTCAGGACGATGGCCAATCAATTTAGCATGACTAGGTGCACACTATGCTCGTGAGAAAAAGTTTTTGGAGCATCAAGCCATCTCAACTCAGCTATTGGAACTGGAGGATGATTCTCAAGCTCAGAGGGCTAGCTAGGCCCTTTCTTAAGCACATTGTGAGAGATGGGAAATGCATTTCCATGTGGCATGACTACTGGTACCTCCCGAACCTCTTGACTAAAGAATTAATCCAATTCGTATAGCAAACTCCCCATGGGATGATTGTGCTAAAGTTGCTTCCCTCATTAGAAATGGGCAATAGAGGCTCCCTTAGTCTTTCTTGGCCTTGGTTCCTACCATTGGGAATTCTGAACAAACACCTACAATTCAATCCAATAGACCTGATAAACCATTATGGATCCTTTCCCATACAGGTCGATTCAACCTCAAGCATACATATAGTGCTTCCTTCCCCCCTTCTCATCTCATCACATGGTCACACTTTATATTGTTTGCCAACCATGTTCCGAGACACGTCTTTGTTGCTTCGCTTGCCCTGCACCAGAAGCTTAGAAGCAGAGACAAACTAGGCGTGGTTAGGCAAAATGATTCAAATTTATGTTGTAGTGGTTGATTGGTGTTTGAATCTATGGTGCTCTCAGTCCCCATCTTCTTCTGTTGCTGTAATGGGGATGCCTCCTCCTCTAGTGGTTGATTGGTGTCTGAAATTTGAATCTATGGTGCTCTCTGTTTTCCCTGTTTCAGCTATGGGGTAGTTAAGGTAGTGTTGGGGTTGTGCGTTGCTTTTGGGCCTTGTTTTTGTTGGGCTCTCTTTTTTCTGGGCCTCATGTTCAACTTTTGTACATCTTTGTTCTTTTATTGAATATATTGATTTTCCCAAAAAAAAAAAAAAAAAAAAAAAACTTCAAACGAAATTAATCTGCTTGCTGCACAAATCTCATTTTTGGTGACAATTTCTAGAATGATAATTCATATATGTATGTATATTGTTGTGAAAGAATGATTTTTTATAAAATCCCCGACACATTTAACATTGTGCCCATTGTCGCTCATTTATCCACATGTAAGCATTGATGCCCTTCTCAACATGTCCATGGGTCAAATATATTTAAAGTAACAAGTTACAACCTCGAAGAATTTCTCATCAAATATATGAGTTAGTATTTGGTAATACGCTTTGATTAATTGAGTACCAGAGTCTGATGCTACATTTTGCAACCAGTCAATTGTATAAAACGCCAAGAAAAATAATCAATGGATGCACAACAGCACAAGCTCTGCATAATTGAAGAAGTCATCAATCTATATGGAACATGCTAGCTAATATATTTCTTCTATTCCTTTTGTTGACTTAAGCATCAAAGTGTGTGTGTGTGTGTGTTTTTTTTTTCCTTTTTCTCCTGATGAATTTAAGCATGAAAGTGTTACAGTACTATCACAACGATGCTAAGGTTCTTAGTTTTTTCAAGAATTACAGTTTCATCTAAAGTTGTGAAGATCATGATAACAAGGTTTTCACCCTCCATAATATATACACACACACATATATATTCTCTTTTTAGCTAATAACTTAATATATATATATAACTGTTCATTAACTCATGCCCTTGCAATTTATTTGATTTCTTGACAAGTCTTGGAAATACTTTTGTCGGCAGTTTTCCAGCCACCCAGTAACATTCGAGACATTATGTGTTTCTTTTGACACTGCAATTCACCTGTTACACTATTGTTTTGCTTCAAGGGACAACTTTCCAATAGAATTTTTGGCTGTGAATTACAATTCGTCACCCTTCTCATTATTAGGAAACTTTATGTGTATAAAAAAAGTCATAATAATAAAGTCTCAGATCAAGAGGGACATTTAGTTAATTTTTAAATCTCCAAAGATGCAAATGGGTGTGTTTGTTTCTTGCCAAGTAAGGATTCAGTTGGATTGGGCTTGTTGTAGAACGGTGGCAGTGGTGGCCAGGGTGGTTGGGTGGTGGGGATGATAGAGGATTTTGGGTTCGAGTGTGTGATGTTGCAGCCGCAGAGGCGGGGCTGCAAAGGTTAGGGGATTGATGGTAGATGGACTGAATCATGAATTGAAACAACGTCACACTTGAATAAAGAGAACAATGTTATATAATCTCGTTAATATGTGCTCTAAATAAAAGAGGAAAATAACAGTTGCTGGATTAAAAAAAATACAACACTGAGTCAGATGTTTGCACCATTACAAATGAAAATGAAAACCATTCATTTACCAAATTGAACTAGTTCCGAACAAAACCAAAATCATCAGACTGATCTCCCAGATAAACGGACAATGGTATATCACACCAACTACGAAAGTATCATAGAATTCAATGCACCATGTTGTTGAGCTTCATGTTTCAATTGCCGGAACTAAAACGGATAATTTAAATTTGCTCAGAGAACAACGAATGTGAATTGATTACCATATTGTATTTCACGCAAAAGCGTATTCACTACCCAGGAGTAAACATAGGAGAAACCAACTCTGTTCCTCATTTTTCCATATCCTAGTTACTTGGAAGGATTCAACTTCTCCTGATATAACTTCAACAGCTCAGCAGCTTCTTCCTCATACTTTTTCACAAACTTGTTTAGGAATTGACTTTCAGAAGACACCAACATCCAATTCAAGCTAAATTTCTTCCGAAGCAAACCTTTCGACAACAGAATCTGATAAACCGAACACCGTGGAATGATCCTCCTCTCCAAGCTCAGGAGAATAAGCCCCGGATACCTCACAACGATCGAGGACTCCCAACCCATTTTACTGACAAAAAAATCCATTATCCCCGTAATCTTCTCCTCCGACGCTACCATACACCATGGATTCTTCTTAAAAGCCACAAGAATCTCCTCTTCAGACAAACCCTGCTTCTTGTAGACCTCCACCTTCTTTTCCCAATTTGATTTACTCATTCCCTTCAATGCACCAACTGCTATAACAAACAACATTTTCTCAGGGTTAAAGCCCATTTTCTTTACTTCCTCCACAATCTCCTTAAACCTATCAGTACTAGCTGTGAGAGCTCTAGGCTGATTAGTAAAGAAAGTCACAATATTTGATTCGGGCACACCTATTTCTCTCAGAGCTTCAATATTGGGTGCTACAGATATGTGAAGATCATACAACAAAAGCCTAGCAAAGTGTTTAATAGCGGCATTCGTTTTTTCTTGGGACTTGAGTAATTCCTTCAAGAAATTGTAGGATGGGATGATACGGGTTTCCAAACTTCTTCTCAAAACTTCTGGTGCTGTAGATAGTAATTTAGCAATGTCTTGGGTTGAAAAACCTTTGGAGTGGAAAAATTCGATTTTGGGGAAGACGGTGGTCTCGGGATCGAACAAGAGTACCCGAGGGTATTTCCTGAGGAGAAGTGAGACCTGGGTTTCGGTGAATCCATGGTTTCTGAAGAGTGCGAGGACAGAGTCTGGTTTGTCTGGGGTATTGAAGTTGATGTGCTTGGAGGCCGAGAGACCCTTTACTGGAGGAAACCCACATGATTTAATAAGGTAATCGACAGTGAATGAGCGTTGATTTGAAGTAGTAGATATAGATTTGAGAGCTGATGATGATGATAATGAGTAGAGTTGAAGAAAATGCAGTTTGTGGGTTGTTGTTATTGGTGAAGTTGATACAACAACACACCTCAAATAAGGCAAAGATTTGAATATGAAACTAAACATGGACAGTGATGGAAGGGACTCACCTGTTTTGGTCTTGTTCTTCTGAGGAAATCTTGTAGCGAATTTGGATCTCCTTTCCCCCAAAACTATGAACCCTAAAGTAGTTTCCTATCTGTTAAGCGGTTTATTATACTGCCTTACACGACATCGTTTCCAGGGAACAAAAAATCCTCAAATCAAACGATGCCAGACTGGGCCTCCTCAGTATGCAACATCCTTGCTCTTGGGCCCAATGAGAACTGGGCCTATAGTAGTCGCTTTTGGTTTACTACACTGCCTTTTTTTTTTATGTTTTTTATTTCAACTATAACCCACTATATATATATATATATATATATCCAATGTTGCAAATAAAATTGGGCATGGTTTCAACTTTCAACCAAGTGGCCGATTAAATATAATTTGCAAGTAATGAGAGAGAGAGAGGAAACTGCAGTATTTTAAATATATTTAGAGAACATACCAAATTAGTTTATGTAATTATGTGGTGCAGAGAAAAAGATAGACAACTCCATTATTTTGAAATAGGTGATAGAGTTCAACACCAGAATGCTATCTGTACATGGTGGTTTGGAGATTATTTAGATTGTCTTACTTATATTAAATTAATCACGTTGTGGAGATTTAAATTAATAAATATATCGCACTAAATAGTTTAAAATGGAGCTGCCAATTATTATTTCATTTTTCAGAAGAAAATTCTGCATTACACTCCTGGTATATGCTTATATGATCAAGTCTACGCTAACAATATATATAGAGAGAGATCTATGTATATATACTTTTTAAAATTATTTGAAATTACAATAATTTATGAAAATAAAAGCATTAAAAAGCCATTGCAAAGTCACATCTTTTGATCTCTTCCATATTCTCTAGAACACCTTGTTGATTTTCCTTCCATATTTATTACTCAGTTATCTTATTTTCCTTCTACATTGACTTGTAAAAGTAAAAAAATGAAAAAAGAATTTTTATTATATTAATTTTTTTTGCGCTTTCTTTTTCCTCACTTAATTGACAAACCTAACAATTTGAAATGGATGTAAAAGGAGCGGCTAAAAAAAACAAAGGCAGAATAATTTTGAGTGCACCAAAGTAGCATCGCTCAGGTAATCTAATTGCCAAAAGTAATTATTCAGATTTCAGAATGTTGCATTCAACTGCATGAAATCAGAACTTTAGAATTAGAATTAATGGAATTGAAAAAAATTTAGTTTAATTTTATGATTTGTTTTTTTCTAATTAAATCAATTCTAATTTCAAAATTTCGATTCTATGTAAACGAACATAACAGAAATTATTGTTTTAATACCTTATGTGAAATGCCATGCACACAAATGGTCTTTTATTTTCAAATTGGTTGCTTCTAAATGGGTCAGCTTAATTCTTTTGGGTACGGACAGTTTTGGGCTTTCTAACTGATGTATAGGTTGATCCTGGACTTCGGCCTTGGCCCTTTTTTTTTATGGGCTCTAATAGATCATGTAAAATATCCATACATCATTATAATTACAAATGTAATTTAGCTTCCCAAAAAAGAAATGTTATTTATAAATTATTGTAGTATCTAAATCACATTTTTAATTAAAACCCATTCGATCATAACTAGATTTTGAGTGTGTACGGGGCTAACGAGTGTCATGTTGTCCAAAGGGTTGGATTACTCCCCGTGTTCAGAAATCCGTCTTCGAGAGCCTTGCATCTTCTCCTTCCCCTCTAACATTCTAACTCACTAACCTTTAACATTCTTACCATGAAAAGTGTGTATGGGCTAGATATCAAATTTTTTTTTTTTTTTTTTTTTTTGAAAAAAAGCTTATGGTATAGCTATTGATTTACATTGTGTATGTAGTAATAAATACTGAACTCCTCACACATAACTTTCGTTGGGCTTATTGTAAAAGTTTGTTTGACCTTTGGGCTTATTGGGCCTATATATGCAAGCCTTGTTCAACTATAATTATCTATACATTTTACAATTTTTTTTTTTTTTTTTTTAAAAAAACTATATTTTTCAATTTGAGCAAACCGAAAAGTCAAAAATGTTTTTGTATTATACTATAATACATTAATGAATCGTGATACTCAGACAAAAAGATTAGACCGATTTGTTAAGCAAAAATGTATGTGGCACAAAAAGACAAAATAATATAGCAATCAAATGGTCCCACTAGCATGTCCATTAAAACAACATGAATTTTCAAAAATAAAATTACCCTTATATTGCATTCTTGTATTCATCCTCCCTTTTTTCGGATCACTTAATTGAGATCATCGTTTTAAAAACAACTATAATAAAAAATCCCTTAATAAATTCCTTTTATAAATTTTATCAAAACACTATCTCTCTCTAGATAGATGTATAATAATATATAAATTTCTAAAAAGAAATCATCAAAATATATATATTCTTAAGCATACTACAATTCAATCCCTGTAATTTTGTTTTTAAAATTTTATCCAAAACACTCTCCTCTCCTGTATATATATAAGAATATGCAAAATTTTGCAAAACATAAAAATAAATAAATAACAAGTTTTTAAAATTTTCATTATAACTCCAAAAAAAAGAAAGAAAAGTGGTGCGTGTCTGTATGCAGAGCTATTGGGTATGATAAACACTCTTCTGCACAAAACCAACAACAGACTGAATGGGCCCGTTGATCGAGTGATGGATCTAGAGAACCCTGTTCATCAACTTGAAGAGAAGAGAGAAAGAATGCCACGATGGAAGAGGTACGAGTGGTCTCTCAGGCCGACCTAATGGCGACGGCAATAGTGGTGACGCCGGAGATAACGGGGAAGAAAACTAACTACTGTAAGTGATATATTTGTGTATCCTAATCGAGAATCAATGATGGTAATGGCGAAAAGAGTGAGAGAAGAAAATAAAGAATGGTTTGACAATTGGATAAAGATGGATGAAGAGAGATATTATTGGTAATTAAGATTCTTTGCTAATTGGGATTCTGTAAGGATATTTTGTCTTTAAAATTTTATCTTTCTAAGTGTAGTACAACTATAATGACACATCACCATCGCCTTGAGTTTTGGGTTTAAGTATTCGGTGCAAGTATCATTTTCCTAAAATAATATATTACAACCTAAGTCACACAATCTTCTCAACATGTGTCGCTCTCACACTCCGCGTACACTCTCGATCAAATTCTCACTACTTATGCCTTAATTCTGCCGCTCTTATGCCTTAATTCTGCCGCTCTCACGCTCCCGCTCTCGCTCCCTCTCCCACTTTATGCGACTTAGATTACAATTCTCTCCCTCTACCATGGAGACCCAAAATGAACAATCACAATGCACTCTACCATGGAGACCACATAGTAGCATCCCCAAAATCTGACACCCAATATAGCCACCTCTCCACAACAACCCTCAGATCTGCCGGCCACACCCACCTTTCCACAATCTTTATCTCTCTCTAATGAAGAACCTAGTGACCCATATATAAACAAAGATTTAAGGGGTTTTGGTCGCAGGCGCCCAAGGCCATCAAGCCATAAAGCCGACGTTATAGGGTGACGAAATCTAGCTTCTGCTGCTCAGCGAGTAAAATAAACTGCCAATTCTCTCCCTCTTAACCTTCTCCCATCACCTTCACCACCTCCACCCGCCATCGCCGCTGTCATTGTCACGGCAACCCTGGTTATCTCTCCTCTCCTTTCTATTTCTCTATTCCTTCTCAATATCAGTGACCCAAGACCCGCGACTTTTCAGGCCTCAAATTGCCCAAAATTAATCCTTCTCTCAATGTCCTCTCCTCACCATATTTCTATGTCATCTCTCCTTTCCCTATAAATGATACATATTTTTGTGTGTGCAGGAATCTAAATTTGGGGGAATGTAAATACTCCCGTCTCAAAAAGAATGTCTTTTTTGGGGGTAAAAATTTTTAAGGGCACATGTGGGCCATGTATTGTTACCTTGGAAAGTTACTAACTTATCTTTTTAAGTTTTGAATATTCAAGTTTGAAATTTTAACTCCAAAGACATATATGGAAAGATGTAAAATATATTATTTGAAAATGGAAAGTGGACAATTATTTTGGGACAATCCAAAAAAGAAAGATGGACATTCTTTTTGGGATAGAGAAAGTTATTATAATATATATTTTTATATAAATATTGATCTTAGTAGGTGTGTATATATAAATATATAATTCAAAAAAAAAAAAAAGTCCAACTTAAATAAATTGATAGAAAAATAATATAAGAAAGAAAATCAAATGTTCTTTAGTAATTGTTTCAAATTTTTCAAAAATTTAATTTCTGATTTTTTTTTTTTATTTTTTCATACTTTCATTCTATTTTCACAAATATATATATTACTATTGTCTTGATGAAAGATTTAAAAAAATTAATAAATAATCTAATTAAACAAATCTCACGAGGTTTAATAAAACACAATTATTATGATTAAAATAGAGAAGTACTTTAATGATTTATATAATGAGTAGTTATAGATTTTTTTATTTATAACTAAAAATATTAACATATATAATATCATTATTGTTGTTGGCATTCTTGTTATCTTGCTCTCAAAATACTTTAGTGTTTCTTTCTTCCGACGCTCCCAAGACTTGTTGATAGAGATTTAAATATAATTCTAAATAATTTTCTTATAAATACCATTTTTAGGCTTTGTTTGGTTAGATGGAAATAGTAAGAAAAGAAAGAAAATATACATTTTTAAACATTTTAAGAGTTTGGTTAGCAAGAAAAAGAAAATTTTGTGAAAAATCACTTTCCATAACCACCTAAATTTCCCATAAAATTTTCTTCCAAAAAAGCATAAGAAAATTTTGATTTATCAAGAAGTTTTGTGAGCTTACAATATTGCCCTTTCTTTTATGGTAAATTAAATGCTATTTAAACCATAAAATATTAATTTTACATGATTTTCTTGAAAGTTTTTCTAGTGCTAACCAAATTGACTTGAAAACTTAATTTTCCTTCACTTCACTTAACTTAGGGGTGACAAT